TTATTATATATTATGTACACCATTAGTTCTTGATAACAGATCAATTCAATATGTCATAACGGGGAAACAGCATCGATTGGAGGAAGAAATAGGGGAAAAGAAAAACACCATCAGAAACAAGGAAACGCGACTAGGGTGATTTTTCGTTGATTTCCCAGCCGGCAATTAGCCAGTTGATAACAAATTTACGGCGGTTCCTTCGCGGCGGCTAACTTTTCAAAGCGTCGCCACGCAGAGACGGGATTTCGTTGGCGCGAGCCAATATTCCCGGAGGCTGCGGTTTTCGACACCTTTGACGACAAGCGTGCACATTCCCCGAGAGAAAGAGAGAACTCCCGGGGGCGATGGCGACGAGAAATGGCCCTCGCAGCCTCCGGCGGGTTGTTCCCTCGCGGCCGCGCTACTTTCCTGCCGAGTAACTTAATTGCGAAACCCCGGAGTCGATCTCTCCGCGTCGCGGCACACGCGTTACTCCGACGGTTTAATTAGAAATTTTCTGCCAAACGAGAGAGAGAGAGACATTCGTTCAACGGCGAAATTTGTGAATGTTACCACCGTCGTTGCGTTGACGCCCAACGAATCTGAAGAGCGTTTCCCCAATTACGACGAGAATTATTTCGCGTAACGCAACGGTGAATCTCGTGTGGTACGTGTTTTGGTTGACCTTGTTCCGCATCGATTTCAAAAATCGGCGGCACGGGGGAGCTTCTCTTTTTTGCTACCGTGTTCGTTCGCGACAGTCGGCAACAAAGGAAAATTTTCACGAAAATTCCCGTCAATTTCCACTCGCGCCACGTTTTCAGTGGAGAAACGACTTTTCGCTGTTGTTATCGCGAGAGTAAAATCGACGGATGAGAAAGAGAAATCGCGATGAGTTCTAATTAAGTAAAAATGAGATTGGAAAAATACTTAAAATAATACTTTCCTCGCTGGACATTTTCGGCAGAATGTAATCTTGTTTGGTTATAAATTTATTTATAGAGTAGAATGTCGTATACAGAATGAAATTTATTTTCGAAATATACCGTAGAAAGTAAATATATCTGGTAATATTTAGCAGTTGCAACAATAATAGTAAATATATCTGGTAACAATTTTTAAATAATTGTAGAAATGGCAATTCTCACAAATGTCGAACGTAATGAAATTATTTAGTAAATAAAATAACAATCATATGACAAAAGGATGAAAATATTAATTAGTGAAACGGTTGTACACGAGGTTAATTAAATTATTCTAATAATTTTGGTTTAAGGCCTTGAATAAATTACGTAAATCTAAAATCTGTCGATTTCATAAGAAGATAGGAAGCAGCGCTTTTGATAATTAATTTGCCGTTAATTTACACATTTTAGTCATTCAACATTTAATATATAATAACAACATTTATATATAATATTAATTTAATGTAATAATTTTATATAATTCAACATTTAATATATAATAAATATTTAATTGTATAATAAATCAAATCAAAGTGTATATAAACCAGAGTATAGTTAATCACTTTAATAACTGATGCAATTTAAATCCAAAAATCTATTGATCCCACAAGAAGGTAGAAAGCAGTAGTTTTAAATAATTGTTACTTTAATCACTATTAACATTAACGTATTACAAATCAATCAAAGTGTCCACGTAAAAATGGCAATTATCAATAACTTTCTACTTTCTTGTGAAATCAATAAATTTTACATCTCGATTGTTCATGATAAAAATTTTGTCGAAAAGGAAAAAAAAAAAACTGTTAATTTAGAATTGATTAGTATAGAAAAAACTGTTTTTCTTTCCTTTTCGATAAAATTTTTGTCATGAACAACTGAGATAGTAGAAAGTAGTGTCATTGATAATTGCCACTTTAATCACTATTAATATTAATGTATTACAAATCAATCAAAATATCTTTATAAACCATAATATATAGTGAACCGCTCCATTAATTAGTAAAACTCAGATGTAAAATCTATCGAGCCCGATAACAATAAGATAGAAAGCAGTGCTTTTCACAATTAATTTACCATTAATTTCACAGATTTCGATCATCGCGAACGTTCATACACTGTCCACATACTTGTGTGCCGGAGTGTACGTTCGTTTCAACAAAACCGACCCCTTTGTTCTCGATAAAAACGCCAAACGACGGTGTGAAAAATCCTTTTTTTCCCAGGTTTTTGTGTTTTTTTTTTTTTTCGTTCACGTGGACTTTCTTTTTCCATCTAAATGACACGGTCCGGTGGGCAACAATAACGAGACACGTGTGTTCATAAATTCACGCTCGCCGAGAATGGACCCGATTCGCGATTCGTACCGAATTTCATTAAGGTCCGACGTTACTCACTATCTGTTCATAAACGTGGGATCTCTGCTCTCGCAATTGCATTTTTCGTTCTCTCGTGATTTTCCTCGTTCGTCGATTACGCGCTTGCCCGCGAAATTACTCGACTCGAAACCTATTCGCGCAGCGAATGCCCCCACAGGAAGAGAGACGAAATTGCTTTCGGAGGGGAGTTGGTGGATAGGAGAGAAAGCCCGATAAGTATTACAAGATACGGTTCATTTTTCTTTCGGTCGGAGCTGTCGTAGCCATCGACGAGTTTTTCGACAGACGAAGACAGATTTTCAGCGGCAAAGATTATCATCCGGGCTTGGATTTTAGTGACACCGGGAAAAAAAGAACATTGAGAGAAAAATCAGAAATTATTAAATCATACGCGAGAAGATCTAAGGGAGTATTTTTATCCGAAATTGTCAGAAAATTGACAACTTTCTTCTTCACAGAGCATCTCGAAGAGCAAGACTATGAAGGAAGAATGAGAAATTAGTAATCCTCGTACGCGAGAAGATCTAAGGGAGTATTTTTATTCAAAGTTGTCAGAAAATTGACAACTTTCTTCTTCAC